GTACAGAGGGGTCAAGATTCTCAGTAATAAGTGAACGACTGAAGAAGGGAAAAGCCGACAAATAGTCGGAGAGCAGTTTTTACCGGGTTGGAAAAAAATATATATAATTCACACAGAAGTATTATTATGTTATGACGCTACCAAAATCCAGCCTGAAAATAGCACCTTCACCAATTGAATGTAAGATTCATATCGGCTCAGCTACGCTGTTATTATTTAAACTATTTATTATTTAGTATTATTTTTCTAATTATTACAGTCACAATTTATGAGGCGCCGAGGTGAAATTTTTATCGTGCACAAATAAATCTGGCAGTCTGGATGCAAGTGTGTTTTATACATTTTGCGAAAAAAAAAATGCGATTATTTGCGTGAGCATGCATTACAAATATCTTGAACTGTCTCGAACTTTACGTTACTTTTCTTTTGTATATTTCGAAACGAATTATTCAAAATGATACTTTATTGTTGTTCATAAATTGTAAAGTGGAATTGTCATTTGTAAATTTATAGTCTATAGTCCGTTTAAGGTCTCGAATATTTTGTCATCAATTTATACCATTTTGTTAATTAAAACAGTTTGCACGTAATAAAGAAATTATAATTAAATTTGTATCTTGAAAGTTTTACAACCGTGATTAAATACACGATTACATACTGTTTAAATTGCTCTGCTTTAAATTGCTCTGCTTACAATATACCGGTATTTTGTCAAAACTTTTTGTGAAGCTAATTTATATTTTGTTATCGTGAAAGTCACTGCTCGTGTCGTCAGTATTTTGTTTCTCGTAACTGTACATTAGGAAGATTAGATGAAACCAAAATACCGCAGGTAATGAGAATTTAAATATACACTCAATAAAATAGAATAGAAACTTTTGTTGCCGCTTTTGTAAAATTCAATTTATAAGCTATTAAACTATTCTTTATAATCTCTTTATTACATGCAAACTGTTTTAATTAACAAAATGGCATAAATTGACTACGAAATATTCCCGACCGCAAATAGACTGTAGACCATACATTAACAAATAACCATTTTAGTAAAGCATTGTTTTAAATAAACAAATCTTTTTAAATAATAACAACTTTTTGGTAGGTGCAGTATCATTCATATGGCCTGAAACTTATCAGTTTAAATCATTGTATCTACGCCGTACATTTGAAGTCATGGGAGATAATTGTAATTGTGCTCTTACAAGAAAGCAAATTGAGCCCCGATCAATTCCACGCGCTTTTTTCGCGATCGCATTTATCACGGTTATTAAACGCGCGACATTACGTGTATTTATCACGCCACTTTCGTTCGCAGCTTAAATTGATTGTACAGAACTAATACTTGATCGTGATGCCCGAAACGATGCATGCAACAAGCAATTCGGTAATGGAAAGGCTGAGTTAATAGCTAAAACGAGTGCTCCTTAAAGGCGGAACGTCAATTCACCGAAAGAGCAATTTGATTTGTTAAGTACATAATTCGGGCGAGCGGAACAATTATCGCACATTTTCTATTCGAGGTGATAGCTGCCGGCGCATGATTGACGCGCGGGCTATATTTTATTCACGCGAGAAATGGCTTACACCTGCTATAAGTGTCTCCTATTACACTGTCGCGCTTTTATTAATACTGTAATTTTTACCCAATTAATTATGACCGTCCTCTCGGTGAGTCTGAAATCTATCTTATTTTTGTCGAAATTAAATTATCTAAAAGTTTATTTATATAGAAATTCAACATCTTGGTAACAAACGTTCTTCA